CACATCCCCCCGGACGCGTGCACATCCCCCGGACGCGTGCACATCCCCCCGGACGCGTGCACATCCCTGCTGTTTGTTTCCAGACTCCCATTCTGGAGGTCCAGCTGCAACCAAATAGCCCTGATCTCCGTCCCCCAAAATAGAAATGAGATATGGTGGCTCCACCACGCCCATAGGCCTCGTAGTGTCAGCTGGTGGGGAGAAAAAATACAGGCAGCCGCTAACAAAAGAAACTGAGGTACGGAACAAGAAGCGAGCAAGAGGAGAGGAAATAAGAAATGGCCAGCCTTAGTCTAAAGAAGGAAAGGCCAAAATGAGTGCTGGATTATTCAAACCATCTTTTCTAATTGATGCTAATAATTACCTCAATTGTGAGCTTGGGTGATTAATGCAATGCACGCCTCTTTTATAATGAATGGTCCACCATCACCGCGGAATACCTTAAGATTAATCTGTAGCTATTATTAAGACAACCGAAAAGGGCAGGTTGATTAGAATAAATAGCATCCACTGTTTCCATGGCGACGTGAGAATGTGGAGTAGAGCTCATGGGCAGCAATAGAAAAGGTGGGGCGATGGGGGGGGGCACAGCTGCTGCAGAGGCCCGGCTTGGCTCGCTGTGATTAAAGGCGGTCTTAGAGGCTCCTTCCCCTGGCCTTAAGACTGTCAGTCTGCACCAGCGATTAGAGGAAGAGGAGGGGCGTGCAGATCAAGGTGAACTTCATCATTTAAAGTGACGGGCGACATCCGGAGTCACGTCGAGCTCCAGCGGGGGCATAATGGGATAAGAGCAGAAAAAGGCATCCCATCCCGCACTGAAGACGAGGCCTGAGGGGGCCACCAACTCCAGCAATGCCTGTTTCTGTGACCATGGCGGGCATTTATTTAATCTAGATAATGTAAAAATCACTATCGAAAATAATACTGGAAGGAACAGCATACTACGTACACTACCCCATGGTACTACACAGTATAAATATTTTTATAGATAATCCTAACTTAACTAAGATATGTATAGAGATGTGTATAAAATTCCTTCCATGTTTTAAAATGATACATTATTTAATGGATTTTAACGACTATAAAACATAATTAACATATAAAAAATATAATGAAAATGTACATAATTATAACAATATAAAAGTATACATAAAAATTTTGTACAAAGTACTAGGACTCAAATTTAGGACTCGTAAGACCTGTGGTAATACACTGACCCATGACGATTTCCTGAGGCCTCCAACTTTATTATTAACTTTAACAGTTAGTATCTGTGTGTGTGTAAATCATGTTTCTTTTAAAGGAAAAAAATAAAAAACTGAACAACTGTAAATGAGAAACTCCGTAAGACTTACACAATCATAGTTATCTGACATATTCAAAATGACGTAGCCCTTCCCGGTGAGATCACTCCAGTCGACACAGATCACCTGCAGAGAAAACAGGCGTGAGAGTGCAGAACATGGAAGAGAGGTAAATCAAACCTGCGTCCATGGCCTGGACGCTCAGATAACCAAGAAATGATGGATCACATACCTTTATTTAGTTGCTTTCCATTGCTATTTATGTTCATCTAAGTCAGCCAGCTAAGCTCTAGATTTACATAATATATTTTCTTGTAAATATAATAAAATTTCACTTCAACTCTTATAAAGCCCAAACCTCGAATAAATCTTGCAGTCCTCTCACTGGCAGGGCAATCACGACTCTATCTATGGATTCTTTGCATTCATATTGTGGCCCAGATTCTACAAGAACTGTAAAATTTGTACCACGGTGGCCAGAAAGACATCATTGATGTTTAGGTCTTGTCTCATTTTCCTTGTACCATGCAGTGTTATCTTTTTTGCTTATATGCAGTGTTAATTGCCGTATGCTGCTGCCGTGTTGGATGTGCGAGTTAAAGACTCTTTGCTTAAACCTGAAGGATCCTTCTGTTATACCATAGGATAAGGCATGACGTAACGGAAGTATACCTGCAGGGACTCCGGGGAGAGGTGTGTGTTGTGCAGTTTCGATTCGGAGAGGAGCTCGGTTCCCCCATGCCTAAGCTCTGGTTCCTGATCCTCCTGGAAGGTGGGGGCCACCTCGTCCCACGCGATGCCGGAAAATGCAACGGAAGGGGAGTGGAAGGCCGAGGATGGGGGGACGGCGGTCAGGTGGGACTGGTGCATGTGGTCAGCCGCACCCTCCTTGCTGCCAGCTGGAGCTGTGCCCCGTGCCCTATTCTTATTGGTCAACGGGTGACCAGGCCGCACAGAGTTAGCCCATGCAGTGGAGTCATCGGCGCCCGTCTGGCTAAGCCCCTCCTCTTCCTGTGACGTTGTACTGGGAAGAGGCGTGGTCCGGCCTGAAGCTCGGCCCCAGTGGCGCATGAGGCCGACATCGGGATCTGTGGTGGTCTGAGCGGGAGACCCCGCCCCCACGGCGGGCGTGCCGTAAGCGGGGCCCGCTGGGCTACCGCTGGACTCCCCCTGAATCTCCCACAGATCCGAGTCCAGCGACTCCACCAAGGGCAGCAAGGAGGACGAGGAGTTCTGCTCGGTCGGTGCCTCAGCTTGGGAGGGTGAGGGCTGGAAGGAGGCCGGACTGAATCCTGAACAAAACAAATCAGGCATCATTAAAAAAAAAACGCCCATCGCTAACCGCCGGCTCGCCTATGTGAGCTGCCTTGGATCCCGCTGTCCGGCTCGGGCAGGTGTGCCCCCTCTCTCGGGGCTTTAAAGCGGCACTCGGGATGTCTGCCAGACACCTACGAGGCTGCTGGAGGAAGCACTGAGGACTGTTTGTTACTCCAATCAATGGAGCTTTCAGCCCAAGGACTAAAGAGGCAGAATGCTGACAGCACACGCAGCCGGGGGGGCTGCACACACTGTTTTTAGCCTCCCAAAATATTTACGTGTTTCCTGGTCTGCTGCCACTGGCTATTAGCTGAAGAGTCCAAGCTTGTGGACTCCGGCAAAAAAAACCATGAAGGGATTAGCAGCAACTCACAGAAATATTTCATTATATTTACAGATACCTCATAAAGCACACACGATGCAAATCTGATTACACTATATATGTGAATATATGTAACAATGTTACTCCGAATTGTTGCTCCTTTTTACTCACTGTGTCTTTATAGTGACAGACCTGTGGGTTGCTTTACATAAAATCTCCATATTTATAAAAGTAAGGATATAAGGAGAGAAGTTATCGATTGTGCTTCTTGCATGGTTTTTATTAATAATGAAGGGGGACGGTCTCATTCTGACATTGTCATTATACGGCAGACACTTTCTACTTCATTAATTGTGACTTTTCCTAAAACAATTAGCGAGAAACCGGTGATATATAGCACAGGAAAACACGTGCCTGGCTTGGAACACGCTATAAAAAAGTGCAAAATAACATTATCTGGAAATGTGGCACGCTTGTCACACCCCGCCAGCAATGGTGGTGGCTTCAGATGTGAGAGAAATTGATTTTGCCCTGCTTTCAGTAACTGTCCTTATCAGCGCACGGCAGATGTTGTGGCCTGATGACATCACAAAGTACAACATACCTACAGGGTTCCTGAACCTCAGCAATCGCAATCTACTTAACTTAATAATGCACGGGGAAGGCAACAAGTTTCTAAGTAACTACCATATTTACTGACATCTACAGCAAGGTAGAATCTAGTGCATCTCATCAACCTTATCAAATGGATGCTACTTAGCTTTCTGCTTTAAAAATGTTATTGCATGTTAAAATATTATCCAATTATGTGGAATTATGTCCTTCCAACTTCTTCCAAGACTGTATTCAGGTAGAGATGCCAAACAGATCAAGGATCTGGTTAGAACATAAGTTTTAAACAATATCTGCAAAACAAGTGCAGGAAAAAAAATGCAATCAAGCTTTTACGTGAACAGGCTTAAGCAGCACATAGCAGAGTATGTTAATTGTTCTCCCCAGCTAATTGCATCACATTCTCTGCTTCGGAGATTAAACAGATTGTAATTTTTAATTGTAATCTTTCTGCCAGTCAGGAACAGCTAAGGACCTCATTTCTCATACACATTCCGCAGTGCACGACGTCCCCAGAAGGTCAGAACAGGTGAAGTCCGGCACGCCTCAACTGAAACAGGCTACGCATGATGGTGAGCCTCAAGCTCATCATCACACAGGGTCCCAGCCAACCTGCACACCCCCACATATGTGGAGGTGTCTGCTATCCTCCCGATTCCACCTGCGGCCCTACAGGTATCTGCTACGTGGCATCACCGGGGGCAGGTTCAGTGTTTTACTGTTTAAAATGCGCGGGTTGAGTGGTGCTAAACACTGTTGAGGAAGGGGAAGACAAGGAAGCCAGCTGTCTTAAACAGGCCCGATCAATCGCAGTTCAGCCACAGGACTTGGACGGCTAGAGAGCGATTGCACCTGTACGACAGGCCGAGCTCTGATTGGGCTCCCCCCCCCCCGGCAGCTCTCAGGTTCGGTTTTTCACGCTGTCACCGAAGTTCCGCTGTCAGATCTCTCCTTGCAGTCGAAGGAGCTTCGATAACACATTGCTATCACACCGTCATTGTTATCTCGGATATTATTTTTACAAAACACCTGTTTTTGAGTTCACTGGGTCTGTATGATCATTTTAGCCAATGGACATATTTTTCCTGTAATGATATGGTGCTCTGGGTTCCCCAGGGTTAAATATGTATTAAATACGTAGCGGAGTGGTCTGAAGAAGGCGAACAAGTAGGAGTTTCACTGTATGATGTACACATCACACATCTAAATCAGCTTTGGCTCCGAGCCCTCAATGTAAAATACTCCTTTGATAAAAACACGTCCAGTGGTCTATTAGGTATAATTCCAGGACAGACCGAACAGGACGGAATAAGCCAGATTTCAGTTGGCTGGAGTGTCGAGGGCTGGAAAGGCCGAGATGCACCGGAACAGCTTTCCATTCTGGAGCGGCACATGGAAACATGTCATTAGATCCCGAGGATAGATTCCATCATGCTACTGAGGGAACAGACTGCTAAAACAGAGGTGACAGTAATAATGGGGGAAAAAACGTCGGACACAGAAGAAGGTTAAATCACTCAGCTGCTTAAATTCGCGAGCCGAAAGCGGCAGATCTACAGCGCTTGTTAGCCACGCTCTGGTTCTGTGCTGCTGCCCTTCCTACAGGCTTCCGTCATTCCTCAGACCCACGGATGGCTTCTGAACATGAGGGCCAGATTCTGTTTCATTTGATCCACACAGAGCAGCCAGCATTCTAGGTAGAGATCATGGCGAAAGAGGAAGAGAGCAGGCCAACGAGGGTGGACAGCCTGTCCGTGGTGACCCCTCTCTCTATTACCGCCAGTCCGACATGGAAGAAAGCCATCGCTATGGCTCCCGGAACAGACCACTGCCGTGTGTGCCAGTGCCGACTTGGTGACAGTCTCTAAGAGTCTGAATGACCAGAGAAAATAATGCAAACAATCAGCCTTCTGGGCTCACTTTCTTGAGGGTGTCAGAGAGTCTGGGCCGTCAAAACATTCTTGTGACAGGAAGATGGGCCCTTTGGCCAGGCGAGGTGTTCTGTTCCAGCGGATTAAAGACAAACACCCAATGGCGTTACAGTGGTACAGTAAAATTTTGTAAAAATTTGGCAACTGGTTCTAGATAATTTGGCCAATGAAATTAAGGTCTTGGTGTTGGGACGGTGACTTCAGCTGGAGCCCATTTTTACAGATCTGAATGTGATATTCTGTGCGTTAAGGTCACCCTACAGTATACCATCGTGGAAGACTTTGTAAGCCATCTGTAAGTCATCATTTATCAGATTCACTGGTGTTGTTTCGTTGCTATACTGTTTGGTGCTGCCTTGTTCTGTCGTGTGTTTTCAATTTTAGTATTAAATCCACATAAAAAACAAGACAGTACTTGGTAGTGTAGTATGCTTGTGAATAACCTCACCGTTACTCTATATATCGAATAGCAGGCAACATGTCCAGCTATCCCCTGGCACAAACGGGTTGCGTGGCTTACAACAGAACGGCATCTTGTCCATAATGTCTCCTGCTTCCTGGGACGGAATCCCTGCATTCATTACACGGTTATGGAAAACTGATGGATGGACAAGGCAATGACTAATTGGATGTCACGTACCTTCCAAGGTCCCGGTGTCCATACTGGTGCCATTGACCTCTCCTCCCTCATCCCAGTACACGGGTGGTAACCCCTTGGCATCCTCGTTCTCTTCGCTGGAGAAGCCTGACTCCTGGGATCCGCCAGTGAGCCCCACGGACTGGGGGGTCTCTGGACTCGAGGGCATGACCTCCGGCCGAGCGATGCGCTCCGAGGTCCGGGCAGGCCTAGGTGGTCCGGTCAAGGTGGGGGACGAAGGTGGGTCCTGACTCACGGCGTCACATGACACCAGCAGCACTATTGATCCTGGGAGCAGTGAAAGAAAAACAGCAGATTCGGGCTAAACAAAATTCCTGCAGTCAAGGCACAAGACATCCAATGAAACCCATAAAGTGAGATATCTAAAATGTCAAATGGTGTTTCCCACTCCTAAATAATTCAGGGACTTGTTTTTTTTTTTTTCTAAAAAAAAAAAAACAGCTGATAATGATCATTCTTACAGTTTCAGATTGAAAAAAAGCACAGCATAGCCATGAGCAGCTGTGAAAAATTCACACTTGACTAGTGTAAATATATATGTAGGTGAACATATATTATGATTATAAGAATGGAGCCTTTTTCACTCCATCAACTTCATTAATATTCTGCAAATGGCCGATTCACATTTCAGGAAATTAGCTTCCTGAATTTCTGGGCAGCTGGTGAAAAAGCAAAAAATTATTGCACATTATCTGGCACAACAGCATTTTTTATACAGCTTAGACCAGAATATGTATAAAATATGTATTGAATCAAGTACAGAAGAATGGAAATCTGTCATTCTTTTTCCCCCACGTTAATTCTCTACTATCATGCCAAGAAGACAATGATAACATGAATAAAAGGACTGCATTTTCGAAAACTCCAATGATAAAAACCGACATTTGGGGAATACAGGAATAGTATGGTCAGTAGAAATCGTTTTTTAAAGCCTAGACTGTAAACATAAATGATAAATTACATGTATAAGGCTCAGCAGGTTCTGATGCTGTGCCTATGAGCAGAAAGTCACCAATTCAGGGACTGGTTGATCCTGTTTTTTCGATTGTGCTTCACTTTGGAAACAAGCTTCTGCTCAATAGGTAAATTACAAAGAGGCACAGGGTGAGTGGATGAGGCTGTATCCTTCAGCTCGAGGTGCTGCTGCTCCGAAAGGCGCTGCCCTCAGGCTAAGGGGATGACGCAGCTCCAATCGGCTTGGGTGTAAATGCGGACTCGGGTCAACGGGCTGGAGCCCCCAGAGGAGGCAATCTGTCCCCGGGGAGGATTACCCGCTCTGGGCCAGACGGCCATGGCGGAGCATATGGAACGGGCAGATGAGCCCGCCCTCAGAAACACATACCCCCCCATTCCTCCAGCAGGCTGCATCGATGCAAATTTAGCAGAAACTTAAAGAACAATCAGCCTATGAATTGAACTTAGATACCTTAAATGCATCAGATAATTTCACAAACGATATTTTATAAGGTGCATTAACATGGCCCCTTAACCGGAGGGGGGGGGGGTGGCGATGATAAAAAGCTGTTGAATGGGGAGGTCGAAAATAAATTTGGCCAAGTGCCAAAATTGGGGGGGCGTGCTCTCCAACTATAACATTTTTTTAATTATTGGCGAGGGATCAGTGCAGACCTGATAATATGAATCAGATAAACTATTTGTCAATATGGGACAGGTAGTGACTCTAGGCTTTATTATACATTTCATTACAAATAATTAGAAAAAAATGTTAAATAAGGTTATTTGGGGCCCCTTTTTAGTGGAGGCCCCTGGACCTCAGTCTGGGTAAGCCTGTGCATTAAAGCATCCCTGGTTAGAAATACACAAATACACAAATGCATTTACGTGATTTAAACCGAGCTCCTGGAATAACTCTTCACTGCCTCTGTGCAGGGGGATGTGGGAAATGGGCAGCACACTGAGCAAAATGATGAAGCCTTCAGGACAGGGTTCCAGCTAGTTACCCCAAGGGGGCATGGACTTTCGGTAAAGGATAGAACGGACAGACATCCGCAAGCGAGGCAGGTTCTCAGCGCATGCTGCAAATTGTGCTCTGCTTGGATAAAGACAGGCAGTAAGCGAATTTTCTCCTGCAACCGTGACCATTATTTTTCATCACAGCCCATATTATTACTAGCTGGAACATTTCGTTCTTCTCCCACAGCCTTTCTAAGCTTTATTCAGCCTTCGGGGTAACGGGACCCACCCAACACATTGAGATCTTCAAAGGCTGAAATCATTTGGATTGATAAAGGCACAGGGTATGTTTATTCACTTTTATGGATGTTAAAATGTGTCCCACCCTGTTAGGTCTTACCTCCAAAGTGACAGATCAAAATATTCAAGTATCATTTGTATTAAAAAAGCAGCTTTAACATCATACCACTGTTTATCTGACAGAAGTAACATAAAATACGTTGATTACATGAAACGTGCAGTTGCGCAGATGTTAATCAAACCCCAAACTGATCACTGCTGCGGCATGCTCTGGGCATTAGCACCGATGTTAATCAAACCCGAGCTGATCTCTGCTGCGGCAAGGCTGTGCCAGAAGGCAATGGCAGGACACAGGTCACTGGATCTCAGATCTTTTTCGCAAAGAGCAGGCTTTTTGGCGAGCCTTCACACTGCTATGAAATTGAAACACTGGCACATATTTTACATACCAAACAGAACTTTTTAATGATTGACTGTGAGGAATAGGGTCCGTTTGTCCCTACTGGCAAAAGGAACGCTATACGGATGCCAGGATGTACTTACTTCTGTTTCCATGTCTGTACCCCATCGATTCTACTTAACAATCAGTCTAGGTGATGTCCAAAACACCCTTCCTGTTAGAGGATAAGGGGAGCGAAATACGACACTGCATGGAAAATGCTGTCACAGGCGAGCAGCAATGCAGTATGGGTCAGTTTGCTAGCCTGATGCTGGCTCCGCCCACCACTGTACTGCCGTGGGACCTGGGGAAAGGGCTGCTTTATGGACAAACCATCAGCAAAAATGCTCCACCCCTCGCCCTGTTCGAAACGAACCGGCCTCTATGTTTACTGTTAACAGTTGGCTTGGAAATAAGGCAGTGAAATGTTCTTGCCTACTTCTTATTGGTTGCCGGGGAGCATTAACTGGAGGTGACCGACAGTATTCTTGTAATCTTGCCTACTGCAGATTCCAAAGCCTCATCTCTTCCTTAAATACCCACTGCTGGCTGCAATCTTTCTGCCCCCCCCCCCCCCTTCCTCCCCCCACAACCTCCACCTCACAGCAGTGGGCTGATTTCCAAAAGCTGCAGCTGACCTCCACCCCCCAACCACCCACAATGCCCCAGAATTGTTCCATATTAGTGTTTTTTTTTTTTAATAACCCACCTCACTCACCTCAGATATAAAGACAGCATGGAGATCAGTCCAGAGAAAACTTGGAAGGACACAGGACACAAGCTATATTTGTAGAATGTGCAAAAATATGCCCAGTATTTCAAAGAGCTGGTATGTTGAGAACATCACTTTTAGAATCATAAAATAGAAAAATGTATTCGCCCTATACCATATAGCACAACAGCTAACTAAAAAACACAGTAAAAGTCTCAAATGCCTACAAATTATTATAATATTAATAGTCAGCCAAGCCACTGCTGGTCTCATTTCTTTTATTGAAATTTTTTCCATCTTAAAAAAACCTGGAGACCACAGTCTTTTATTAGACTGCACTTTTGTGTGTTCCACCTGCTTGAAATCGGTTATTTGTTATAATCCCAGGTATCTGCGCTAAGCCACGCTTCGCTCAGAGGGGCACATCAGCACCTGACGAACATCGAGCTAACGAGGCCCCGCATGCTGAGCAGCTATATGGCAAACTCATGTGATACACTGTAGGACGGCTGGACCAGGAGATACATCTAATAACATCACAGCACGAGGACAAAATATGTTGCACTTGGTTCCCCTTGATAATATCACACATCCATAGTTACCAATTACATTAACTAGGGATAATGACTTCCAGAAAAGACGCAAACTGCTAGCAAGTAAGATTAAAGGTAAAATGTTGCATGCAGAGTAGATGACAATTCTTGATACACAACAGTGAAATAGCTGCTTCCTGTTATATTAATTATAAAAATTATACATCAAATGTAAGTAAGCAGGGATTGAAGGTTTTTTCTTCTGAGAGCAGAACAAGAAAGAAATGGTATTTATTTTTTTAAGGTTTTCATAATTGTTCCTCCAATGATCCAGTCTTGTGCACAAAGCATTAAAGGGTATTAAGAGTTTCTCAGAAAGAATCAAACTCAGGGGTTATATTTAATTGGACAAGGCACACGTCTTTCTCATAAATGTTTGACGAAAAGGCCCTAGTCAGAAAACTGAAAATAACAGGGCAGTGTATTTCGCTTGTAATGGACGTGTCTTCCCTCCAAACTTAAATTGTGGAAGATATTATTTGGTGTCTGGTCTGACCACATCAGGTTGGCTGCTTGGTAACTTTTGCACTATAACGTGGAGATAAATCCCATTTGTAGGCTGTAGTGTTCAACTCCCTCCGTAAGGCCTCTTCAGCAGTACTGATGTCATGTTCTTATATCAGAAAGTCTATATTTTGGAGTGAAAGAAACAGTGTTGAATGTAAAATATTACTCAGATAATGACTCATCCATTTATCGTCTTTTTTCTGGTCAGGGTGTCATCTATACACGTATGGCAAATCAAATGGTTGACTTCCAGAATCCTTTTTCGTATCAGAACATAGAAGTGGAGGAAGCATTATACTTTTAAGGTAATATGCATTAAAAGTACAACCTGAAATTCATTCCCCCACTTCAGCATAACAAGAACAGGGCAAATTAAATGATGTATGCCACAAAGGTGAACGATGTCAGGAAAACACATTAAGAGATGTAATAGCCAGCTTTCTCCTGTTCATTGTGTTAGCTCAGAAAGGTATTTTTTTCCAAAGAAAAGAGAAAAGGCAAAACTGCTCTTCTTTCTTGTAATCCAGGATACAGAGTCAAATCAGAACCATCACAATATAAGACTGTAGTCGATTCTGGCTTCACACAAAACTCTTTTCTAAAGACTTAGTGGATCTCTTTGTGGAAAAGGATTATGGGATTTCTGAGTGAACCGAGAACTTCTACCATAGCTTAAACTCTTATGATTGCAACAGGGTGGCCATCTCCAGAAATACCTCTCTTTGTTTACTGATCTTTTTTTCGCAGTTTATTTTACATGCTCTTATCATTTATTCAAGGTGAAGATATTCAAATGGAAAGC